ATAGGCCCGGTAGGTTCGCGGCTCCTCGGATTCCAAGGCTTCCTCGATGAGTTGATGTTCTTCTTCATCTTCTACTTCAAGGTCACCGAGGTCACCAAGGTCACCAAGGTCTTCAGATAGGCTCGGTAGGTTCGTGGATCCTCGAATTCCAAGGCTTCCTCGACGAACTGATATTCTTTCTTCGTCTTCTACTTCAAGGTCACCGAGGTCACCGAGGTCTTCAGATAGGCCCGGTAGGTTCGTGGCTCCTCGAATTCCAAGGTTTCCTCGACGAGTTGATGTTCTTTCTTCATCTTCTACTTCAAGGTCACCGAGGTCACCGAGGTCTTCGGATAGGGTTGGTAGTAGCTCTTCATTCCTTCTATCCCTCCCTCTTCTGGTTCGCTCCTTCCAAGGTTGCCAAGGTCTCCAGAGAAGCCGACAGGTTTAGTCGCCTGGAGGAAGTGCTATTTTCATGGTTCCTCCGCTACCTCTTCTTCCAGGTCTCGTCCAAGATTCTCGCGTCTTCCAGTCTCTTTTAGTCGAGTCTCTCCTAGTCGAGTGTCTTCTAGTCGAGATTACCAGGGTCTCCAGATGGGCTCGGTGGGTTTGGCGACCTGGAGGAGTCCCTGGTGGGTCTGGGACATCGTCTCGATGTCCGTCCTGACGGGAGAGGGCTGGCTGGAGGCTGGCGTCAAGGGCATGGAGTACTCGTCGGAGCTGAGGTCGCTGGAGGACGGCGAGGACTGCGGCGCGGCGACGTGGATGGTCAGAGGTCCTGTCTTGTCCATGGAGTTGAGCTTGTGTCCCAAGTGGGTCATCAGCTTGGTCCCCAGGGCCACGTCCACCCCGGGAGTGGCCGCCAAGCAGCGGCTGACTTCGTTCGCGCAGTGAGTGTAACCCGCTCGGAATCTGTCGGCGTCGATCACTGGGTTCGCCGACAATCTTTGCTGTCTTTGTAGCTTGTGGAGGTGGCGAACGGTGAGCTCGAGGATGTCTGCCTTCTCCAGCTTGGCCACGTTCTCGCCGTCGCCGGCTAGGGCTGTCACCATCAGGTCCTTGAGCTCGTCCAGGCACCGGTTGATGCGCGCTCTGCGTTTCCGCTCTAGCATTGGTTTCATCACCTGGACAATTAGAAACAGGAGTCTGTTAGAAGAGAAGATTAAAGATCGGAGAGTTTGGATATTCTGAGCTGTCAGTCTAGATCGGTATCTTTGTCCAGAAAGAGGTCAATTTTTCAGGAAAGATTGGATTCAAGTGGACGTAGACGAGCGAGAGGCAGGTCAGAGATCAGGAGGATTGAGAATAACAGGTCGAGTTGTTTAGGGACGCTTACCTTTCTGTACTGATAAGTTCTGGAGATGGGCTGCTCCTGTCCGTCTACCATCATGATCTGCTCGTGCATCTGCATGGTTAATCCTTTGGACACTTCACACACTTAATAAGCACAAGTCGAACGAGTATCGTTTGATAAACTAGCTGTTACACCGTGAACGGTCACCGTGATTGTGGTGGCTGCGGTCCGCGGCGCGCGGTTATATAGTGGAGGGGCCCTTGGCCGTCGCAGGGCAAGGGGGTTCTGGTTGGGTGTCTGGAGGGGGACAGGCCTTCCGTGGGAACGGTCCGTAGAGGTTGGTTCCCAAGCAAGCACACCACCTGTAAGCGGCAGCTGCCAGACACGCGCCCACACCAAGCCATCGTCACCGTTTCTTCGTCCTCGTCGCACCGGGGCCTCGAACCCGTATTTCCTACCTCGTCTGATCCTCCTCTGGTAGTCGTGCCACGGTATGCCGCACGTATCCTCTCTCTCTTTGCTCGTTTCGGGCTGCTCACACGGAAGGAGCAGCCGATATCGCGGTTCCTCGTCTCCCCCGGTACGCGGAGTGAGTGAGTGAGAGAGAGAGAGAGAGAGAGAGAGAGAGAGAGAGAGAGAGAGAGAGAG